TGCATTTAAAGCTGGAGGTATTCTCGCAGTCTTGCAAAGCCCTTGCACAGTGTCTGTCCATAGGAAAACCGGTTTTTTTTTTTGTGGAATCCAAGCACCGTGCAAGGGCTTTGCAAGACTCAGAGAATACCCCCAATTTTTAAAAATATTAGATGTAACTAGGAAGGCTTTTGTAATCTTAAAGTGGTGTTCCCAAAATTAAGTGAAGCCAAAATAAAATGAGGTATTAATTTTTTATTCTATCATCTAGTACCATTTCATCAGTTTTATCTCTTTTAATGAATTGTAGGTATTTTTATAAGACCTCATATTCGTAAAATTATGAGCGACGTACAATAATTTCTTTGGAAACCACAAAAGCGCCGACTATGTCACGGTTTTAACGAATTTTTGAATGCTACGATGGAATGGGTTGTAAGATGTCCATAAAAATTAATTTCCTTCATTCGCATTCCGACTTCTTCCTGCATAATTTGGGTAGGTTCAGTGATGAACAAGGCGAACAAGGCGAGGATAGCTATCACTTCTACCATTTTTTCAAAATTACTGTCACTTTTCCACAATAATTTTTCATTAAAAACGGCCTCAAGCTCTAAAAATTTTTGAATTTAATTTCGGAGGAAAAAATTAAATTAAGATTATTTCAGAATATTGCTGATCACTACAACGAGAAACTGATGAATCTGAATTAAGAAAAAAAAACGGTCAAGTAAAAATTTTGGGGTAGTCGGTATTCCTTGCGTAATTGCCCCCGATTAATTTGTTTCCCCGCTTATTTGAACTACCTTATCGGTAAAAAAATGTTTCATAAAAAATCCGTGTAAATTTTCCCGCATAATTGAACCCGGTTAATTGGTTTCGCCGTATATTTGGTTAAAAACATGTGATATTGAAAAGAGATATATCTTCAATATTCTCCGGCTAATTGTTCCTTACGTTTCTTTTTGTGTTGTTATAACAACTATCTCTAAAAATTGTTAGGACAAGTATATATTCTTACGTATGAACAATAGTAAATATAAATTGTTTTTATTCCTTATATCTTTTCGCTTAAAGTTTAAACACATTCAATTTATAAATTCAAAAATTTACGTTTATATACTCACATTGGATATCTATAATCATAGTATGCGGATGCGGCGATACCTCTTGATATGATCAGCATATTCAAAATATTCGAATAGCTAATTGCCTGTGGAGTTTCACGCGTGTACATCTCGGAAACAATACTGTGGAAATGAATTTGAAAAAAAAAAATCATAAATATAATATTTTTTTTACAAATCTAAATACGTACGTATCCACAATACTCATAGGTTTCAATTTCGCTTCCATCCGTACTTTGCGAAAACTCCAAATCGACTCCAAATGCTCAACAAAAAACAAATTATTCAACAACAAATCATTGTAGTAATCCTTTATGTAAGAGCTTTCGGTAAGCGCTTCCTCGGGTATGCCGATCTGCAGGCGCATTGTGGTCAACTGAAGAGTAAAAATTAGAGAAGTGAGTATTTTGAGTTTTAAAATTGTATAATAAAAGATTTAAATACTTACTTTATCACTAATGTAGCCCTTCACACGTTTATCAATCCAGTCAGCCTGATTAACTGAATCTTTCAACTGATTCTGTAAGCTGTAGTACATGAGCCGTAAAAATGCATCGTTCCCCTCTGATTTGCTGGGATAATGGGCTGAATTCGACTCGTCATGCTTGTAGTCTTGGGTGGCATATCGTTTGGACTATACAATAAATGGTATACATTTTTTTTTTTGAGAAAGTTTTTTTTAGAGAATATTTGTTGTTGGAGTTTAGTAAAATTAAGCAGCCACCATGGTGACCTGAACACAAATCTTAAGTCCCTTTTACTCTATAACGTCAGGATTTTTTGCTTACCCTAAAAAACATTTCGGATATTAAGTGACAGGCACGCTTTTTGAAGTTAGAAAAATATCCTGACGTGGTGAAGCAAAACGGACTTCATATTCTTGTTCAGCGCATCAAAATACATTAGGAAAGTGTAGTCTGATTTGTTATTTAAATAAGTGTGGAAGACATTTTGGAACCAACCTTCGATTGCTCTGTATTCTGTTGCTGCTGCAGAGCATCAACAGCAAATGGCAACCAATCGCGTACTATTTGTGAACAAATCATCCAGCGTGGATACGTAGCTGTGCGACCTTTAAAATAATATTTTAATAAATATAAATAAACAAAGGTAAACGAAAAAACCTTGGAAATATGAAAACGAATAAACTGCTCAAGCAAAGCTAACTCACCGTAGATGGCGTGATCAAAGTTCTCCACCAAATTTCGGTATTCCCGCGACAAATGTGGCAGCAGATGGCGTGCCAACGACCAGATTATGAAATTGTTAATTGGTCTAAAATATTGTATAATATTATTAAATGCCTTTACTTCTTCATTCATGTCAGTAATGAAAAAAAAGCAAACAAAGATGTGTGGAATTTGAGAAGTTTAGGCTAATAAAGGTAAAAACTACTTTTTACATATGTATTTACTTTTTACATATGTATGTACACTAGGGTTGTCCAAAAATGCATGTAAAATGGTAAGGTCGGAATTTAATATTCACCCCTTAGGATTGTGAAAAAGGAAAAAAATTATATCCCTATTTTTCATTTTGAAATCAAAAAATATTTAGAGGTCGCTCAAAGAGTTCAAAGTTTTACATAGAAATGGCATATGATTCTTGAAAATTAAAATTTTTTGCTCGGAAATCTTTGCTTCTCTTCAGGATACTTCCACTACTTATTTCACCATTTTTAATACTAGCGATTTTTTATGGGCCCCCAGGTCGCATTTCTTGATGTTTTTAGGACACGAAAAATCGCTAGTATTTAAAAAAGGATTAAGTAAACAATTGGGTGTTTTTTGAATGGAAGTCTCCTGAAGAGAAACAAAGTTTTCCGAGCAAAAAATATTAATTTTCAAGAATCATATGCCACTTCTATGGAAAACTAAATATTTTTTTAATTCTAAATAAAAAACGGGTACAATTTTTTTCCGGGGTGAGAACATTAAAATTTCGACTTTGCTTTGTTTTAGACCACCCTAATGTACACCCAGCTGTTGTGCATATGTATGTATGTACAGTATGTATATGAAAGCGAACTAAAAGGTCACAGCATCAAAATTGAATTAAGTCAAAGCATCATCAATTAAAATACATGTACGCTGCACGGTAGGTACACTATTCGGGGGTGTGAGTGATCAAAAATAGGCAAAAACACAACAAAAAAAAGTGAAATATTTTTAATTGTGATAATGACCTAATTATAAGAAACTCTGAATTTTCCAAATCTGGTTTCGATTTTGCTCTGTCTACTTTGGTTCGAAAGATAGTTGATTTAAAACTAAGCTAAATTCAGTCAAAATAAAAAAAACGGTTTTTGTGATGAACATTTTTCAACTTTGGAGACGTAGTGTTCATAAACGGCATAAGATATTTTACAAATTTTGTTTTTGTTTGAAAGATGCATTAATCGTTTATTTAATATAAGCTTTTCCTTAAATTTGCATTAATCTAAGACTTACATATTTACATAGATTCTAAGTTCATTCAGTATGGTGTTGATAATAAAAGGTTTATTTGCTACATTTGTTACCTTTGCCTAAGCTTTTAGAAACTCAGCCAGAACTAGCCCAAAAAGTTATTTATACAGGCGTCTACTATGAGTTATAGAAAATAATTACATACCCAAACCAGCTGCGGGAAAGTGCGGGTTTTTTATATAAAGAGGCTCTAAAGCCAAAAAATATTATAATTTTAGACAAAAAATATAAAAAATTGTTTAACTTTGCATTGAGAAAATAAAACACGTATCTGCGAGAATTGTTCACACTAGAAAATGCAACAGGAGCGACCAAATTGCAGATTTAATGAAAATGTTGTTGATATCTTCCGATCGTCTAATCACATCCTTTCGCCACAATGTAAAAACAAAAAACGGAAAAAAATAAGTTGCGGCAGATATTGAAGACCTTTTAGTATAAATATTTTTAAAAGTCAAATGAAAAAATTTATATTTTTGTATTGTCACTTATCGTTGACAAAATTTCAAGTTGGGCAAAAAAATATGGAAAAATTATAAAATTTTCACCAACTTTAATATGAATAAACATGATTTTTAACCAACTTGTGGTTGACTTGACATGATAATATTTAAAAAATTTTACCGATAATTTTCATTAAATTGACGTTAGCCACATAAAGCTTTGCCTTGCAAAAAACAAATGAAATTTTCGAAGACCTTCAAGTTTAAATGAAAATTGCATCATTTTAAATTCTCCTTCTGCTCAGTTTACATAGTCGATTTTTATGTTTTTTTACAGCTATTAATAATTACATTAGTCTCTTCTAATACAAAAAATAAAAAAGGAATATGTCTTTTTTCCTAATGTAAAAAAAAAACTTAAGTTTTATTGTTTACATTTGGGGTAACTTTTCAAAGTAAAATTGGCATATTTAAGTTCTTTGTTAAGGCTATCAATACACAGTTTTCTACTTAACAAACACAAAAAAAAACGAAGAAAAATTTACACCCGTTCAAAAGTTATACCTTATTGATCATTCACATCCCTAAAAATAAGTACACTGCGCGTTACCAACGCCCTTCAAACTAAGAAATGTAAAACCTCCCATTCCGAATTTGAAAACTTCATTATTTATTCCCTTACTTACTTCTTATCAGAAGTAGATACCACAGTGGACAGTTCGCTGAAGACGTTAACGTCACGGACTAGAATTTCAGTTTCGTCGCTAATTTTTGTATGACTAAAAATCGCTTGAAGTGACTCCATTATTGGCAACTATAGAATAAAATACAAAAATGATAGTAAATACATACCTACAATATAAAAATCAATATTTTTTTTCTAATTGTATGTCGTAAAATTGCAAAATACTTACAGATGGTGCTATTGTTTTCATTTCAGCTAAAGTTTTTATTTCATTCAATTTAGTCTCATCGGATTGTTTTACCGAATCGATATGACTAACAATGCGTTTTTCATAATGAAAAATTTCATCAGCAAAGAGATCTGCTTCGCGCGACACAATGCCTATTGGACAATGTAAAATCACGAAATTATAAGAGTACTTAACACAAAATTCAGGTTCAGGTCGTAAAATATTTGGTAAGCAATTCAAAGCACTTACCCATGTTAATGGCAAAATCACGCAGCAACAGTTTATAGCCACGAATGATCTATAAATTTGGAAAATACACCAATTCTTAATTTCTAACTTCATAGGTAAAATGCATATGTAGTATTTATATGTAGATGTTATTTAAATAAAAACCTAACTCGGTAGACACTCTTGACCTATCCATTTTCACTTCATTAATAATGTCTATTGGATTTTCTTCTCCAAATTTTATAAGGTAAGATAAGATACCGATTCGTATTGCAAGCAGAATTGCATATGCTAAGTCAGATATGCGATAACACGAGGTCCATCTAGCATTATGTACATATCTCAAGAAAATATTACATACTGTTGAATAAGCTTAGCAGAGAAAATGGACGTATTACCGGTAAGGTAAGCTTTTAGCAAGCAACGAACGATCATATGTTATTATAAACTCCTTTTAAGCAAAGCCTTGAAGAAATCCCTTAGCAGGAGATTAAAACAAATTGTGATTCATTTATTATCACTGCTAAATATGCTGTAGGACAAATTACTATTCAAAATTAATCCAGTTATACTATACACATCGTTTCGAGTTATTTGAAAACTAGATTATTCAAAGTGTATTCTGCTTTTTTGCCTGTAAATGTAATTGAAACTCAGGCCTACAAGTCCAGACATTAGCTCGGTTCTTGAACAAAAAAATGCGGCTCTTCAAGTGAAGCGGGCAGGGCTGCCAACTGTACTTAGCTATGAGGTGCCATATAGAGGATAAAAAAGTGCCAAAATGTGCCAAATTTGTGCCATTCTTTGTAATTCTTCCCATTTAGCATAAAAATTAGAAACACATTCCTAGCACAAAAGTCCAAAGTCAAAGTAAAATAAACCAGTTGTATACACTATAGAAACGAGGATATTATATATTATATATTTTTCATAAAGCGGCGTCAATCCTCTTTCGTTTAGGGGGGATTTGTGGGACCCACACCCCTTCCCCCTCCGCCCCCAACCCTAAATCGTTGTACAAATAGCTAAACATTTCCCTATTTTTCTGTGAGAGTTAAAGTTTTTCGTGACATCTTTGATGCTATTTCGATGAAAAACATGCAGCTGCTGCATTTTCTTTAATTAGTGAAATCGTAGTCGGTCCGGTGTAAGTTTTAAATTTTTTAACTCTGTCTGGATTCCAGAAGGGTCCGGATTAGACCATACCCGGGTTAGCGAAGCTTTACTCTAACCTCTTCTGTACGAATTCTCTCTCATATAAGGCATATGTCACTATCGATTGCCCCCGATGTCCAGAATGAGCTGCTTCTTTTGTTACAAGTGCAAATGACCTGCCAAGCAAGAAGTTTTTAATTTTTGCTTTAAGTTTTTGAACGGCATTTCCTCGAGAATCGGTTGCATAAAATTCCAATCCGAGTAGCTGAGAAAAGTTTGCTTAAATGTTGTCTATTATGAAGCAACTGAATTTTTCAAAAAAAAAAAAAAAACAATTTGGTTGGAACTTGAAGGACTGCAACCTCAAAAAAGACTCTGAACAGTGAATCTAACTGCTGAATTTCCTTACTCAAATGTTTGGATTTTTCTTCAGTGTGGACACAACTTCTTTTTTGATCCCTTCCTTTTTTAACTGTTTAAAAACGCGGGAAACCCTTTTTTGGTGAACATCCAACTCTTTGGCATTTTTTTTTTTAATACTAATGAGGTTGCTTTTAAACACATCCCAATTGCCTTGCCACTTTTCGCACTAGATTAAGTGAAATTATTTTAAACCAACAACTTCAGTCTAGAAACAGCACTGATAAATACAAAATTTATCAAGCTTACACTGCTGAATGGTAAATATTTACTACGAATTTCTATTGGACTCTGATCTCTAAACCAGTGGCTAATAAAAGATATACCTACACAAAAATATTCACATTGAAATATGTTAAAATTTACCTCGTCGTTTTGATCAATGCTGTAGAAATAACGATCAGGTAAACCGATTTCGCCCTCATCCAATGTGATGATATACTCATGCGGTTTATTAAACCTAAAAAAGTTAAGAATGCGTATTTATGTGCTATCCTAAACCATATTGGATAAGTTATATGTTTTGAACTATACATACATGCATATATCAAAAATATACTCACCGATTTTCAACGCTAACTTTGTAGTAGGGAAAAATTCCATAGATCGCCTGCAGATGCACCAGAGCCTTTTTGTATTCCCAATTTTGGAGGCGATTAGAATCTCGAAAAGCTTGCCAACCCTCTAAAAACAAATAAATACAACTACGTATTTTAAAATATACAAAAATTTAAATGAATGTTAGATAGTATTTAGAACTTTAGAATTGACCTCGTTAGTTTTTCAACAAAAGCAAATACTATTGTACATATTCATGTACATATATGAACTCACAATTAACTACTTTAGACTACTGAGTATTCCGATATTGAATTTTAAAAAACAATCCCTTATAAAGTACATAATTCTAAATAAAAATTTAACCCTCATAAGACCTTGGGATATAATTCTACCCAGAGAAATTTGTTTGGTATTTGTTGTTTCTGAAATGTTCATTGTGAGTGTTTGAAGGATTTGTATAACGAATTGATATGCATTTTCCGTAAAACAACATTCAATTAAATAAAATGTATGTACATATGTTGGGGCGGGTCAATTTGTATTGGAGATTATTTCGACTATGCGCGTATAGTACAGAAGGATTCTACGTGTAATTCTTATCCTATTTGCCGAAGAAACAATGGGTCTAAAATCAATTTGAAGTTCGCCAAATTGCGAAAATAAGTTTCGTACCATTTTGTTGTAGAGTCGTAAGGAAGTGCTTAAATATTGCATACAAAATTCTATAAGGGGTTTTTTGGTATGAGGAATCCATTCCTGCACTTATCTTTTTCTTAAACTTCCACCAGAGGGTGCAACAGAGAAAATTATCATATTTTCTTCGAAACCTATTTTCGAAATTCATTTCAGACCCATGATGTCTTCGGCAAATTTGCTTAGAATTGTACACAGAATCATCCTATGCTATACGCACACAGTAAAAAAAAATTACCCGCCCTAATGTATGGATAAAAATGAAAAAAGCGTTAAGGGTCCAAAAAAAGTCAAGTCGGAATTTTATTGCTCTCACCCTTAGGGCTGTTCTATACCAAAAAAATATTAACACTGTTTTATTCATTTTGAAATCAAAAAGGTCGCTCAAAGCGGTCAAAGTTTTCCATGGGAAAAAACAAGTTTTCGTAGAAATGGTATAAAATTATTAAAAATCAATATTTTTCGATTAGAAAATATCTCTGTTTCTCTTCACGAGTATCCCAATAATAATACCCAATTGTATATTTAACCATTATTTATAGTAACTATATTTTATAGTTCAGCCAAAAGTTCCAGAAATGGGGGGACCAATAAAAAATCTTTAGTATTAAAAATGGTTAAATAAACAACTGGGTATTATTGTTGGAAGTTTCCTGAAGAAAACCAAGGTTTTTCAAACGAAAATATTGATTTTCAAGAATTCTTTACCATTTCTACGAAAAGTTGTTTTTCACCATATAAAAAATATGGATACTTTGAGCGCTTTGAGCGACCTCTAAATATCTTTTGATTGCGTATTAAAAAATAGCGCTATATTTTTCAGTATAAAAAAGATCTTAGGTGAGAGCACAGAAATTCAGACTTTACTATTTCGCATGCATTTTTGGACCACCCTAATGTACATACTTTAGCATTATGGTCCCGGATTGGCTCGTGCAATTAGCACCTTCTGTGAATGCGTTAATTCCCAGCCGGATTTTTTTATAGTTTCACAATGCTTACTTGCAAATCGTCCACTTTTTAACACCACAAATTAATTGTTTTTAATTAAACCAAGCTAAAATGTGTCCATTGCGATTTCCTACAAAGATCTATCAAAATTTTCACGTAAATAAAATTTTGATATAAAATTGTGTGAGGATTATAAGGCGGATATCAGTTTGTTTTTATATTCGTCGGAGTTAGGGAGTTTTGACAGCAATTAAATTTTAGGCGAACGAATTTTGTACAATTTAAGTGAAATGAAAAAATTTGTGGTGAGTGAAACAGAAAAATTCCGCGAAAACTAAAGAAAAATTTATTCTATTAAATCCTGCTTCAGTTTGGCTTAAAAGACGTAAAAGTAAATAAGCGTCTAAGCAAGAAAGTGAAAAGGACACTTCGTGCACTTCCACTGATATTTGTGTTTCTATTCTAAACAGGTACTCGCCAGCTTTGCCGCTTGTGTTCAGCTTGCGCTGGCGCGTCCAGATGTCAGTCTCGGCTACCGCTACCACCCTGGCTACAGCAGCGCTGGTGGGGACTCAATACAATCACCGGAAACCACGGGTAAACACTATTTTAACGCAGCGCCCGCCTTTCCGTTCAGTGCTGGTGGCTCTGCTGGCGGCAGTAGTTTTAGCAGTTCCGGTAGCGTGGAGAACCACGGATTCAGTGGTGGCAGTAGCAGCTACGGCGGCGGCTCGCCCTCGCACTCCCTGAGCGGTTATGGCGCACTCTCTGGTAGCTTTGGTGATTCCGGCGATTTTGGCGGTACATCAGCAGGCAACAGCTATCAGGCGGATTATGTGTCTGGCAAAACGCAATCAGTGCATTACACTCAGCAAGCATCGAACTTTGTCGGCCAACCACCAATAGTGACTAAACACTTCTGGCTGCACTCTGCCCCTCAGGATTATGATGAACAGCAAATTGTGCGCTATATAAATATTGGACAGCCCCGTAAGAACTACAACGTTGTGTTCATCAATACGCCTACATCGAATGTGAATAAAGCTAAGATTATTGCCAATGTTGCGCCGGTGGAGGATAAGACGGCTATTTATGTGTTGGCCAAGAAGGCAAACGCCCTGGATGTTAGCGCGGAAGTGGCTACACCAGCGCCCATCGTCCATAAGCCAGAAGTTTACTTTATTAAGTACAAAACTCCTAAGGAGGCGATACACGCACAACACACCATTCAAGGTGAGCTAAAACAACAGCGTTGCTTAAGTGAAAATTACTCTAAGAAATACTTTTTCCTTCTCAGCTCAATATGACGCTTTAGGTGGCTCAAGCGATCTATCAAACGAAGGTTCGATTCCTGTGTCTTCCGCTATAGGCAGTTTGGGTGGCTCAGGCGCCGATGATGCTGCGGACTCACATTCAGTTGTTGACGACAAAACGCAGCAGAACTACTTGCCACCGAATCGCAATTAGTCTGTGAATACTTCTTCCAATTCCTGAAACATTGACACGGGGTAACCACAATAAATTTGGCGTATGCGAGGTATTGCGCGCCAAGCGACGGTATAATGTTTTACTCTGGAGCATATACATACATGTGAACATTTTCAAGCCAAACTGACTAGATTTGTTACACTAATTCCAATTTAAGCAACATTAGTTCGGTTTAAGTAGCATTCTTTCCTTACATTTTTTTTAGTTTGTATATTCATCTAAGAACCTATGTAAATAAATAAATGCGAATACAAATTTAATTTACATTAGTATGTATTTTAACGCAAAGTCGGAAATTCTCACCAAATCTTTCTTCTTCTTCTGCTTCTTTGGCCTCCAACTGTCTAAGCGATTTCGGCCGCGTTCAATATACACGCCAATCGTTTCTCTTCTGTGCCAACTGACGCCAATTGGAATGCCATGTGAAGCCAAGTCCTTCTCCACTTGGTGTTTCCTTCGAAGTGAGGGCCTCCCTCTTCATCTGCTACCTACCACCGGCGGGTTCCGAGTTGAATACTTTCAGAGATGGAGCGTCGGTGTTCATTCGAACGACATGCCCAAGCCAGCGGAGCTGCTGCACTATTTCCATGTCGTTGTAAAGCCCCTTCCCCAAATGATAAGCGACAATCGCTTAGCGCGCAATAAAACGTGACTTCGTTAAATTCCTAAAAGAGTATTCAACTGGCAGGATATACCACCCAGCGCCCCCACGACGCTTCTGGTGCGAATTGAGTCAGTCCTCAATTCGAGCACATGCTCAGGGTCACTTCATTTGAGGTTCACCACTATTGGCCATTCCCGACCCTAATGCGGAAGAGCTCCCTCTATTAAACCGGTGGAAGAAAGTTAAAGCCCCTCACCACCAATTTAGTCGCCGCCGGAATGATCTTCAGAAAAGATACAAGTAGAAAACCCCACAACTCGATTTTCAGCCAGGGGACCCTGTCATGATTAAAGAAGATTCGCTTCCCCCTCTTCCAAGTGGCGATTAGAACGAATCGAAAAGTTCGCACGGTCCTGATAGCCACACAAAATGAAGTTATCACGTGTCCACTGGCCAAACTGTGCGTTATTCCAACGAAGAATACTCCACGCAAAGCACAACAAATACTGATATACATACATATTTTCCTCCTGTATATTAAGAGTCTTAACTTCCCGTTTAAATACAGTACCCAAGTACTTCCCGTTTTTCCGGGCCAACGGAAAAGGCATTCCAAGCAGCGCACATCTGCCAGAAAGGCGCCACTGAAGGAAAGGTACCCGACAACAAGGGAAGCAATGGGCAGAAGAAGACATATAAACGGAGCAACCAGGCGCCGCAACGAACACGAAACGGCGAACTACCAGGACCACACCACCAACCGTGTTCTTGGCAACACCATCCAGTAGCTGAAAGAGCTGCAGAAGACGCTTAGCAACAAAATCTTGCAGGGCGGTGTAAGCCGCCGCTTAAACCCAATACAAGGGCCGTGCGCGAGATCATTTGTCGCAGCTGTTTGGTAGTTGACCGACATCAACTCCAAAAGCGAATCGCCTACCAGCGGTCAAATCAGCTAAAAAGTAGTTCTAACGCTACGCGCACACTGCAGCCGGCATCGGCCGAATTGTGCTCGGCCGATATCGGCTATATGCGGGCGGTATGAATAAACACTTGCGATTATATGAGCGCTCTCACACATAAACCGATAACCGAACCGACATCGGCCGTTGACGTCCGTCAGTGAAAATAAATTCAAACATGTTTGTTTTTCTCGTCCGATGTCAGATGAAAAGTACCAAAATGGACTGCGAAAAATTAACTTATTGGGTGCAAAAATAAAAAAATTACATATAAAATCACATGTTTAGAGTATGCCAATTAAAATGTATCAAAATAAAATTGTGTGTACAAATACTGTCGGCAAATAATCTGGTTAAGTGTGCGCATCATTTCGGACGGTCAAATTGTTCAGCCGAAATCGGTCGGCCTATCGGATACAATGTGCGCC